GCCTTTGTCCTCCTTATAATTTTGACTATCCCGTTTGCTTCCAGGTTTATATTCCATGCACTTTCCATTACATTTTTCCACTTGTCCTACTAAAAATTCCTCGRAATTAGTCATATTATTATTATTATTGACTTTTATTCCTGCTGTGCACTCTTTTCTGACATTTGCAAACTATTACACAGTAATATGACCTTTTTGGTAGCTCTTACACCTTGTTTCATGCATCAATATTATCTTATGTCATCTCTCCATAATACAGGGTTAAATACTGTTTTGGGGGACATAAGATCTTATGGAGTTACCTACCTGGAGTAGGTGACTCCTTTAGCATGGTCAAATCTGTTCCAACTGAAATAAGGGAAGCTAGGAAGGACCAACCAATTCATTGCTTCTGTCCCTAATAAGGGAAAGAGTATAGTAGCTAGATAGATGATACAAAGCTGATATTTGAGGGAAAAAAGAAGAAAAAAAAATGTAAACTGGATTAACAGTGGAGATATTTAAAATGATAAGACAAATMTTTTCCCTTTCAAAAACTGAGAAAGAAGATGATTAGAAGCAAGAATGGTGGGCGCAGGAGCACATGGCTTGGATATAAATGCTACAGGGGAGGATTTCATTCATATTTACCATTTTCACTGGAGTAAGTTGCAAGGTAAGAAAGCGGAGCAGAGGAAGCTGCAGTTGCAGCCGGTTCCTCCTCTTTTCCACAGCCCTGTTCTTCTTAGCAATTCATTCTTAGATTGTGACTTATGCTCAATTTCCCTCACAGCAGCGTTCATATGTACTTGATTACTTACACAGGAGACAATTTAACCACGAAAACCTCACGTGTGAGGGATTAGCTGAGGGCAAAGTAGGGCTCTTAAACTCTTAATGTAAGTATAGTCATGACAGCACAGTTTGATTAAATTGGGACATTGCACTTAGCAAAGTATAGGTTTAATTCTAACAATTTTAAAGGTGTCAGAAAAGGACGGGGTACCTCAATTCACTCCATTCAAACTGCCTGGGTCTGTCTCCCTAAGGGAAACAAGGAACAAACGGTGCATAGGGAAAAAATAAACCATTAGCTTTGCTATACAAGGTTTGTTTTCTATTCCTTAAAATTGCTATGGACACATCCACACCATCTCTACAAACCCTCACACATAGAAATGAGCTTAGTGATACATAGGGGTTTTTTGAGAGGCAGAACACAGTCCTTTTGTATCATGATAAAATAAAAAGAGCATTACAAGTTGTCTCTCCGGTACTCTTTGCAGATATAAAAAACTGTTTGCTACTTGCAGTGTCAAGCAAATGCTCCTGGAAGACGCCAGGGCCATCTTTCCACATCGTAACAGTTTCTACACTGACCGGTTTCATGCCTAATTTAAGTGTTTATCATCAGTCATGGAATCCCGACTGACAGATGATTTGATTTTTCTGTCGCATAAACCAATTTCACAGCAGTGCAGTTCCAGTAACTGGGGCTACTTGTGCCAGAAGAAGAGCACCAAGCTCTGAATTTCCTTTAGTTTTCCTTCCTAAAGTTCCTGGGCTGTATTCTTTTTTTTTTTTTTTTCATGTTGTCTTCAGTGCAATTCTGTTGACTTACTGCCTTTGTAAATTCGCCTTTCATCTTTATAAGTTAACACTAAAATGAGCCAGTTTGTATTTCTGTTGTTCTGTTTTACCTAAATCTTTCCTTTGCCTCGCACATTTCGAGCTCTCTTCCTGTCCTCACGGGCCCCCACATGATTTGCTGAAGTCATTTGTGTGAAGWTATGGGGCCAGCTTTCCAGATAGCTGCTCCAAAATAACCCTCTTGAAATCAACAGCTCTTTTATGCAACCTGGTTTATGGAGTTTATGCGATGGGATAGATTGCTGTTGTACTGCAGTGAGGGTTGATGCTGCGAGTGGCTCAGGTGGATGCTATGAACTGCTCTATCAGCCCGTCAGAAACCCATCCTCTCATGCCTCCCTCCTGCCTTGTGCAGGGGGAAAAGGCAGAAGAGCTTTCCGGCTGCTTCAGGCTTTCCCAACGTCCTAACAGCCTGCAGGTGTGTGAGGAGGCTGATGAAGTGTGCAACTGTCACCCTTTCACCATTGCCCACGATTGAAGTTAGTCGGCAGCAAAAACAGGAAGAGAAAAGGTCACCAAAGGACAGTGTCCACTGCCAGCATCAGGTTTCACAGGAGGGACCTGAGGAGAGAAAATGGAAAACATTTGGATTTAATAAGGCACTAATCTAGAATAATGAGGAACAGTTGAAAGCTGCAGAGTTGGGGCACTGAAAAAACTTCTTGGGGTTGCAAGGAAACCTTGTAGTAGCTCCTGCTACTGAGAATAACGAAGGAAAGAAGAGGTTGGTGGAAACTGTGGCTCTCGCATSCATCCCAAAGCCCTGCGTTTTCGTAACGTGTAGCATCAAAGCAGCGAAAAGCAGGAAAGCAGCGTGAAAGGATGTGGCTTGCTTTGCTGCTCAATGGATAGTGCTGTCATGTCTCTAAAAATGCATATTTCTCCTAGAAGTAGCCTTTCAGTTGTCATGTTAAATTTTCTGCTAGAAAGTTGTCCTTGTATTTACATATAGTATACAAAGAACATGTAAATCTTAAGTTATCTAAAATATATGAATACGTGGGTATGTACATAYATTTGCTCATATTTAACTTGAGGGGAAAAAAAAAAGGAAATAGAAGAAGAAAAGAAAAAGGCTGATGGGGACTTAASTAAATGCACAAAATGATATGAAAGAAGACAAGATATCGGAGTTCATTCTATTGTTTYGAGGCCTGTCTACAGCACAGATCTAACTAGCTGTGGGTGTCTGACTTGGTTACAGACCCCTGTGCTTTGTCACTAGGGGATACAACAGATCTGAAGAGCAAAATTAGGGGACTTGGCTAAACTCAATGGCCTGTCCATGCTTCCAACGTGGAATATTTCCACATTACAAAAGCTACAGACCTGGGCAACTCAGACAAGCAGATGCTGAAAATACAAGGCTTCAAAGGCAATCCCTTCAGCTGGCATGATCTAAGCTATAGATCTAGCTATAGATSTAAGTAACATGGTGCTGCTCAGTATGACTGTGTTATAAACCCGCCTGTTAGAAGCTCTCTGCACATGTAGTGGGTTACTGAACAAACAGGGCTCCTGTTGGATGAGGGTCAAAATGGGATCTTGCATATCCAAACATATCGTTTATTTTTTTTTCCTTTATGGCCAAAACAAAGAGYGAGAAGCAGTTTTTTCTCATACGTGGACAGGGCCAAGGGTTGATTTGCTACAAGACTGTTCAAGTATGACGTAGGTAAAACCTTCTCTGAAAAACAGGGGCTTTGGGACAGGTAAAAAGGGACCTAGAAATTATAATTTATCTGTCTTCTACTTCTTGGAATCATATTTAATAGACACAATTAGTTTTCAGCATTATCACATGAAGAGTTGGTTCCTCACCATGGCCCAAGGTGGTCATCATTYTTTTGCTTCCATTATAGCTCCCATTTGCGAATTCTCAGCGTTACTGGTTTGATGAACCCCATGATCTCAATGGATCTTCATCTATTGTGAGCTGGGCCTATTAAGAACAGATGATGCTGACTTTTGTCAGCTAAGGACATGGCCCCTGTCTATGTACGTCTATGGTGAAGCATTGAGGTCCTGGGTCTATCATCCATTGCTTCATYTCCAGCTATTTGGGGCAAAGTAGCTGCAAAACACACACTGAAAGCTGCTCAATTGACCTGATAGTAGCCTATATATATTTTGCACTAGGAATAGGAAATATAAAGACAAGTATGGAATCAAGGCAATCARTTGCTCCCTCCCACAACATTCGGTAAAAAAAATATGAAGCTTTGATATCTTCTAAGGAAAAGAATTAGGTAATAACTTGACATTATTAAATGAGAAAAAAATATAGCTTAATATTTGACAGCAACTATGAGGTTTTCRGTAAGCAGATCTAGAAGTTCATGATTCAGACATGAAAGCTCTTTAAAATTACATGTTGTGGTAACTCCTTCTAAAAATGGCTGTGGCATGCAGTAAACAGTATGGTTGCTGCTTTGAAGGAGTCTGTGCCTGACAGGGGCATGAAAACAAAATCCCACATCAAAGAGCACGGTACAAGTTAGCCCTGACCCACAGGCAAAGGGAATTTATGTAATGTTTTCTCTAAGTAGTGCTTTTCCATTTTGTTCTTTTCAATTGTGAATGCTTTTTTTCTTCTCTTCTTTTCCATCAGCCAGTGAAATGTGTTTCTTTTCAGCCTTAGGAGAGATTTGGGCAGGTGCACCTAACTTCCATTAGGGAGAAGCTCTTACAGTTAACTGGAAGTTGGTAGAGCTTATTCAGGTCTCGTGAAAGGCAGGTTTTCCCTGCTGGGGGAAATCCACCCTTCTACAAACTCAGTGGCAAAGCCTGATTCTGCGGAAGGCCAAATTAAACGAGCTTTCAGGGAGAGCACTGCAAATACCTTTGCTATTTATACATTTCACTAAAGCCAAGTGATCTAACTGTTGATAAATCTCAGTAACGTAGGTCCCAACTGATGCCATTAAAGTAAACTCACTTAACTCTGTTTTGCACAGGTAGGACTGGGATCAGGATTCATCCTAAAGAACTCTTTCACTTACTGTAAGTGGAAGAAGTGAAGCTAAAGGTTCTTACAGCTGAAGATTATATATGTGTATATATATATATATATATATAAATGTTGGTTACGATGTTAAGCCTACCCTACTACCCTGCCTGGGAGCAGCCTGCAGAGCTATATGCCATCCTTATCTTTCCTTCCAAAAGCCTTTGAAGACTAGGGAAGACTTTGCCTTTTCTTATCTTACCCTGTGCACCTAGAATATCACCAAAAGTTTATTGTACTGCTGTGTCTTTCAAGGACTGGCAGCATTTCGATGCTTCCAAACTGCCTGTGTGCAAAGGAGCCAGGAGGAAAGTCCTTTCCCTTTTCCCCATGTGCTGCCCAGCTCGGCCGTGAGCGCCAGGCAGGCAGCAGTAACACTCCGGGCTCGGCTGTGTCTGCTCTGGGCACCAACACCTGGAAGGGACTTTCAGAGCTAAGGAGGAACCAAGGGCACTCCCAGAGAAATACCTGCTCTCTGCAGAGGTGCCAGTCCCTGCTGTGTGCACACCCAGCCCGACAGCACCTGGCAAAGCAACATCTCAATCTCCCCCATGGCAAGAAGCCCAGAAGTTGCTGTGCCAGCTCCAACCTGATTAACAACTGGCAGGGAGCAGGTGARGGTAGGAGCTTCCTGAGGAGCAGAAGTCACCACCCCTGACCTGGTRCTACAGGTGACTCAGGTGACTTCAAGCACAAACATTTCTAGTGTCTCTGGAACTGCCCTCTGCTGTCCTGGCCATCTGCTGTAAGCCATGGTCATCCGAATTCTGTCTTGCCACTCAGCCCAGCAGCCCTGTTAGCTATTTCTGC